GAATGAATTATTTGAAGAAGTTGTTCGAGTTTCGAGAAACTCAGCTAAGAATCGGTTCTCAAAAAAATGTATATTTCTGTGAAGTTGAATAAATATTTTTATAAAATTTATAACAAAGGTCTAGCTATGAGGCAGGGGTTTAGCCAGAGCAGGGGCGTAGCCAGAAATTTGAAGAGGGGGGGGGGGCAAAAAAATTTTGTATGGAATTGGGGGGGGGGGGGGTGGTATTTTTATGATTTTTTAATGAAAAGTCTAGCAAAATAAAGAAATTTCTGTTTACGTTGTCTCCCAAATCCTCACCTGGCTACGCGCCTGAGCCAGAGAGTGGTCCTTTAGTGCCTGGACATCCTTTTAAAATTTTAAATCGCAGATAATTAATAAAAGCTAATAAGTTTAAAGTAAGAACAATATAATTCGATTTTAATAATGGAATTGAGAACGTTCTATTGACTTTTGACAGTAAAAAAAAAATTCGAGCCCCCCATCGAAAAATCCTGGCTATGCCCCTGCTATGAGGACACCTCGCTATTCTCCCAGGGTCGGAAACTAGACGGTATTTAGCAATATTTCATATAAAGTGGTGGTATTTGGGGGTATTTGGACGATACCGCCTAGTTTTCGAGCCTGGGTATTCTCTGATCTTGTTCCTAGTTTATCTGATAAGGCGATAAGAAGTGCTGCGAAGAGCTTGGATTTTTTAAAGGATTAAATTCGAGGATGTACGCTTAATCTGACGCAAATGTTGAAAAGGAGTCATAAAAATAAAACTTTGAATAGACGTAATAAATAAATTAATATTAATGTGCTGCGCTGCTCGGTATCTGATAAATAAATCAAATGATTCATATTTTAATTTAGTTGCGATGCGAATCTTTAATTTATTAAAACTATAAAATTGCAAGGCGTATCCAAAAAAATATTAATTAAAACTTTGTCTTTTAAAGTATCAGCAAGCTTAATTAGGAACTTTTATTCTAATTATACAATCATGCTAGATATAAAGTGTGTAGTAGTTGGGGACGGATGCGTTGGCAAGACATGCCTCTTAATAACGTTTACATCAGAGGCATATCCAGGAGATTGTCAGCCTACAGTTTTTGATAATTATTCAAAAAATATGAAAGTCGATGGGAAGTTAATAAATTTAGGGCTTTGGGTAATTTTGGTGACATTTTGGCTGATCTTATATTTGATTAAATTAATATTTCAGGATACAGCTGGTCAAAATGAATATGATCGACTACGTCCACTGTCATATCCAAACACCGATGTATTTCTAATGTGCTTCTCACTTATTAGTCCAATATCATTCGAAAATGTAAAAAATAAGTGGCTTCCTGAATTGCGTCATCATTGCCCATATACTCCAATAATTTTAGTTGGATTGAAATCAGATTTAACAACTGACAAAGCAACTATTGATGGACTTCGCGAGAAGAAGCAACAACCAATTTCATATGCACAAGGTCAAAGTTTAGCAAAGAGCATAAAAGCTATTAAATACATCGAATGTTCTGCATTGACTCAAAAAGGTATCAATGAAGTTTTTGATGAAGCCGTTCGAGTTGTTTTAAATCCACAAAAATTAAATAAATTAAATTCAAACAGAAAAGTCTGCATATTGTTATAGCGACTGCTATTTAGCTCAAAATTCGGTGAATAGCTCTTAAATTCTGCCAACTCTGGTTTATTTTATAAATTTTATTTATCACAATTATTGTAATTTAAGTCTCATAAGTAAGTATTATTTAAAAAAAATGAATGATTCAGAATAAATTGTATAATGTTTTTTTCTGGATGATCAGCTTTGATACTCTCTTAATCACAGTCTTCCAGTATACAACATGTGATTAAAAAAAATTACAAAAGTTCTCGTTTCATTGATCGAATGACTTAAGCGCATTTTTGTGTTATTGATCAGTATTTAATTATTTAATTATTTTGCGTTCACTTACAGATCATGAGAAGATTGGAAGATCATTAATTTTAGTGTAACTGACAAGGCTTTATCATTTAACGGTTTTGTGGAATTCAAAATTTCTAACGGTCAATAAATATTTGAAATTATAGAGGTAATGTTGAAATTATAGAGGGAAAAAAATTTGAGCAGGTTGCACAGTACTGAAATAAAAAATCATTAATTATAGCGCAAAGCCATTGTTGTATGCTCCAAAAATATTCGACCGGCCAATAACTCGATAGAACTGAGCTAATAAAACAAATCCGAACTCTCTACGATGTCTGGTTGCAAAGTTTTTAACGTGCACCGAGCAGCCGAGCAGACGAACAAAGCGTATTATTAAGCTACCTTTTCGAAACAAATTTCAAAAATGCGCTAAAAATTCTAGACTTGCTCATAATGCATGAACAGTTTGTACGAAATATTGAATCATTAGTAAACATTCAGTAAGCTTAATTAGTCATTATATTTTTTCAATTAAAAAAATGAAAGCCATCAAGTGTGTAGTTGTTGGTAACGGTGCAGTTGGCAAGACCTGCCTTCTTATTACCTACATCGAAAATTCATTTCCTTCGGAGTACGTCCCAACTGTGTTTACTAATTATTCAAAAAATGTGACAATTGATGGCAAGTCAATAGAGTTGGGACTTTGGGTAATTTTGGTGACATTCTTACTAATCTCAAGTTAGATTTTTTTTTTAAATATTTTAGGATACAGCTGGTCAAATTGATTATGATCGTCTACGTCCTCTGTCATATGTAAATCCTGATATCTTTCTAATATGCTTCTCACTTATAAGTCATTTATCGTTCGACAATGTAAAAAATAAGTGGATACAAGAAGTGCGTCACTATTGTCCATCTGCTCCAATAATTTTAGTTGGATTGAAATCAGAACTAAGAAATGACAAAGCATTTATTGATAATCTTCGCGAGAATAATCAACAACCAATTTCATATCCACAAGGTGAAAAACTAGCAGAGAGCATAAAAGCTATTAAATACATGGAATGTTCTGCATTGACTCAAGAAGGAGTCAAAGAATTGTTTGAAGAAGCTATTCGAATTGTGTTAAATCCACCAAAATTAATTAAATTAAAATCAAATAAAAGTAAATGCACATTGTTGTAAAATTTATTGGAATTTATCAATTTCTTTGAATTAAATCATTAAATTACTCAGAAAAAAAATTAATTTTTTTTTTATTTTTCACGGATGACCAAAAGTGAGACAGACTGGTTCCAAAGCGTGATAGCCGTGTTGATCTTAGGAAATGTCTGGCTAGATTAAAGCCCAATATACATTGTTCTAGTCATGCAACTCATTCTGTTGGATTTGATGAAATCAGAGTTGCGACTTAGGTCGCCTGCCACAGGCACAGTTGATAGTTCTGTCACAGATATTTTATGTTAACATGCACTGCCTTTTAACAGGTAAGTGATAGTTGATTGCCTGTGACAGATCGCAACTCTGGCTGAAATCATCATACACGAGAACATTCAAAATTTTGAGATTAGGAGTGGGAGGCATGATTCATAAGAATATTACTGTGATTAATCTTTATATGATTTGAGATACACTCAGGCGCGTAGCCAGGGGGTGGATTTGGGGGACCCCCCCTAAAAGTTTTCCATACAAAGAAATTTTTGTCCCCCTCTCTTAAAATTTCTGGCTACGCCCCTGGATACACCAGCATCTAAGCATCGTTATATATTTAAAATTTTCATTAAATTAATTTTATTTTTGATCCCAAGTTTATAGCGATTTTTTCGATTTAAAAATCATGCAAGCCATAAAATGCGTAGTTGTTGGTGACTGTAAAGTCGGAAAGACCTGTCTTCAAATCAGCTACACAACAAATGGATTTTCTGAGGAGTATATACCAACTGTGTTTGATAATTATTCAGTTAAAGTAGTGGTTGATGGAAAGCCTATTGATTATGGGTTTTGGGTAAGTTCCCTCCAGTAATCACGAGTCGAGTGCGATTCAAATGCTTTGTGGACGCCCTACGCTTCATAGTGGAGCAATAGGAACCCATCATCATCATCATCATCATCATATGAATTAAGAATATAAATTAAATATTAAATAATTCCAGGATACAGCTGGTCAAGAAGGCTATGATCGACTCCGTCCACTATTATATCCACAAACCGATGTCTTCCTAATATGCTTCTCTTTAGTCGATCCAGAATCTTTTGGAAATGTAAAAGCAAAATGGATTCCAGAAGTTCGTCGTCAATGTCCAGCAACTCCAATTGTTTTAGTTGGAACAAAGTCTGATTTACGCGAGCATAAACAAACGATTGAACAATTGACAGAAAAGAATCAGGAGGCAATAACTTTTCTGATGGGTCAAGCGATGGCAGACGAAATTGGTGCATTAAAGTATTTGGAATGTTCTGCATTAAGTCAAAATGGATTGAAGGCAGTTTTCGATGAAGCGATTCGATGTAATTTTGAAAATGGACATGACTAATACTCAGTGGAACATAGTTTAAGAAGCACTGGAAGAGAGTTGAAATTAGTATGTTGCCAAAAAATAATGAAATTGTTTTTTTTTTGATATGTAATACTTGAATAAATTCTAAGGGGCCGTTCACTTATTACGTAACCCAAAAACTGGATTTTTTCAGACCTTCCTCCCTTCTGTGCCACAAATCTGAGTGGTAAACAATTTTCTTTGTTTGAAACACAAACTTTCAGTCCCCTTTCCTCCAAAGAGCGATACAGAATAAGTGAACATCCCCAAATAAACAATAATGATTCAGACTTTTTTAAAAAAATATGATTCATAATTTTATCTTTATGAATTCAGCATGTATGAGCATTTTACACGAATTACTAATGAACAACTATGATAAATCTTCATAAGCTTTGATTCATACGAATGATTATATTTTTGATGTGAGTATTTAGTGACAAAAATTATAGCGACGAGACATCATTATCAATTTAAATATTTCATGAATTAGGTTATTCTTTATATTTTTGGAATTTAAATTATTTCAAGTTTATAGCAATTTGTCTATAAGAAACATGCAAGCCATAAAGTGTGTAGTTGTCGGTGATGGCGCAGTCGGTAAGACCTGCCTTCTTATTAGCTACACCACAAATGCATTTCCTGGGGAGTACATCCCAACTGTGTTTGACAATTATTCAGCAAATGTTATGGTTGATGGAAAGCCGATCAATTTGGGACTATGGGTGAGTTAGATTTTAAAAAGGATAATCAGCTTATATATCCGTACACTTATAAATTCCAGGATACAGCTGGTCAAGAAGACTACGATCGACTCCGTCCACTATCGTATCCACAAACTGATGTCTTTCTGATTTGCTTCTCATTAGTTGGTCCAGCGTCATTTGAGAATGCTCGAGTAAAATGGTGTCATGAAGTTCGTCATCATTGTCCAACAACTCCAATTATTTTAGTCGGAACAAAGTCTGATTTACGTGAGCATAAGCAAACGATTGAAAAGTTGAGGGAGAAAAGACAACATCCAATAACTTTTGTTATCGGTCAAGCGATGGCGAAGGAAATTGGAGCTGTAAAGTATTTGGAATGTTCTGCATTAAACCAAAAAGGTTTGAAGACAGTTTTCGATGAAGCAATTCGATCGGTGTTGTGTCCGGAAGTGCCAATTAAGAAACCTAAAAAGGCAAAGGGTTGTGAAATGCTGTGAATTCAATTTGATTTAAAATTACTTTACTCGATTTTAATTTTTGATTTAATAAAATAGTTTAATCATCAGGGCAGGGTTGTAGTCAGAAATTGTTTGAGGTCACCAAATTCGTCTATTCTTTTCTAGCTACAAATCTTCAAGTGTCAGCCAACCTTTCACAATCAACTGTCTAACCTACATAATATAATTCCACTATCATCGAGGTCACACATAGCAATTTAAAAATATTATAATTCATGCATTGCGAAAAAAATGCGTTGGCGATGAGAAAAAAATTTCAATATTAAAATTTTTCCATGTCTAGCTTAACTGACATTGAAATCACAAAGCGACTATAAGTCTATCTTGTGACAAGACCTTTGAAATTCCAATGAGATTATGTAGGAAAAATATTTAAATGAATCATGGGAGGTTCCAGACACAATTTTTCGTCGACTATGTCAACTCCAAAAATTTTTACTTCCAAAAAAAGGCACAGATGAAAAATTTTATCTTTCAAGAATTTTTATTTGAAAACAAAACTAAAAAATGATTTTTTTTTGTGCAAAAAAGGGGGAAAAATTTAATCGAGTTGATGTTTACAGAACAAACGTGATTAAATTTTGTAAGCAAAACAGAAAAAAAAATCTAAGTTTAAATATGTAGCAAGTCATGACTAGCATTGAAGGCATTTGTTTGCTCAAAAAATATTATACACATGTCAATCACAAAAAAATATCGAAATGAATATTTTATTTATTTTTATCCCAATTCCATGAATTATAGATGAGACAAAGTTTTCAATATATACAATTTTTTTTTATTCGATAAATCCAATGTGTCAAAGGTCTATGAAAAATTGATTCGGTATCAAAAACGCGTTAAACCAACATATCTATGTGAACAAGTGTTGAACAAGCAGTAGGCAAACTTACAATTTTCAAAGGACTAGTGTTGGATTTAATTTGGGTATTGAGCGCTTTTTTTGAGTGGAAAAATTGAATTTTAACAAAAAAAAAATAAAATAAAACTATACAATTTTTATAAGTTTAAATTTAATCCGATTTCAAAAAATTTCAATTTTGACTATTTTCAACGTTTTGAAATTTTAAAAGTTGAGTTTAAAAATTTGAAAAATTAGAATTTCATAGTATTAGAGAATTTAGAAAGTATTTCCAATTTCATTAAAAAATTCATTTATAAATTTAAATTTTAAGAATTTAAATTTTTTTATTTTTTATAATTTTCAACAAAAAATAATTTTACCAAATTAAAAAATTACAAATTAAATTGCGATTGAGCTCTAGTCAAGGGTACGGAGCTGTTAAATAACATTTTGGTCATTTTTGATCATTGTTGATCATTTTTCATTTCATCAGTACCGCACCCTTGGCCCAAGTCAAACTGATTCATCCCAAAACAATAAGTATTCCAAAAAAACTAACAATCCCGTCCATATCCTTATCATTTTCATGCATGCCTTTCTCGAAAGAAATGAGAAAAAAAAATAGAAGAAGCTAGACTAGCCGTACATGAATCGAGAATGAGAGCCTTTGATTATGCACGAACGCTTTGAAAAATTCGATGTTTTATTAAAATAAAGAAAAGCAAAAATATAGGAAAAGATTGTTTGTGAGCTTCAACCATACGAGAGAGATTATTCCATTTTTATCATGGTTTGTTGGACTGGATGATCTGGAAATAAATGAATTAGAATTATTTATTGCGATTTCGATATGACAATCATATGTCAATTTTGTCAGTTCCATATTTTTTTATGGTCATCGAATTTTTTGGCTTGTCGATTTATTTTGGGTGCTTTAGTTTTTCTGCTGTTTTTGATGAAGTAAGGAAGGATTAAAGTTTTGCTAAGGGGCCGTTCACTTTTGACTTCAGAAATTAACGGTCGCTTTTCAAAAAATTACAATAAATTTTCAGGAATTTCTATTGTTTTTTTTCCTGACCCCCCCTCCCTCCCCCTCCCTCCCCCCCCCTCCCCCCCCTCCCCCCCTCCCCCCCCCCCCCCCCCCCCCCCCCTGGACGTCAAAAGTGAAAAGACCCTGAGATAATTTTTTTTTGAAACAAATGTTTCCTAGCGAGGAGTACTAAGGGCAAATCCGAGCCCAAATCAACCTTCTTATAGGCTTAGCCAGGCATTCAATCCCCCCCCCCCCCCCTGGCATGAGCTCCTCTCTTTTTTGAACATTTATAAAAAAAAAGCCATAGAAGAAAAAATCAACAATTTAAATTAAAATTCTCAGATAATATCAAGCCATATCATCCACCATGCATCTTTTTATTGGCATAGCTACGTGTAGTCATATAAATATTAATTCCTGACATTAAGCTCAAATAATCATTCGATGTTAAGCATAAAGCATTAAATGAAAAGTCTTTCGCACGAAAAAGTTTCCCACAATGAGTAATTCATTCTAAAATACAAATTACGCGCCTATTATGCTTTTGTTATCAAGATTGTTGTCTAGGAGCGAATATATAGGAACATAAATATATGTTTAACTTATTCAAAAGTCTTTCGCAAACACACACACACACACACGCCATAAAATACAAAATAATAAATTTTATTAATAAAATGAATTCGAATGGAATAATTTGATTCGCTACCTGTGAACTTTCAAGGTAAGCAGATTCATTGAGAGGAAAAATCAAAGAAGAGTTTTTTTTCATATCATAAAATTTAATATTTCTTTACAATTTTTTTGTTGCTGCCTTCTGTTAATATTTTACAATGCGATTATAACGAGAAAATACATTTTTTAAGAGAAAAATATTTTTATTATCAATTATTTTATAAATTGAGCTATGAAAGTCAATCTGATGCTGGACGATTCAAAGCGATCTTTAAGATGTGTTTTTAGTATGAACTTTTAGATACCAAAATACAAGTTTGACATGCTGATAACACTCAAGAAGAAGCAAATAACAAAGCATGAGATCAATATCCGAACGGCACATATTAAAATTCATTGAAATGTTTGCCAACCATCGACCAGGTTGATGTTATATAGCAATTACAGATACGTCACTGGGACAAGCATTTCACCATGTCAATATAAACTTTTTGTCGCTCGCCCGATCGACATATATTGAAATGTTTGCCACCCGAGAACCAAGTGACAGCCCCTTGGAAGCCTTTTCCAACTGGACGCTTCGTAAAAATATTGGTGACAATTGTAAGAAAGATAAGAAAAAAAAATCTTAATTTAATGATTGATGTCATTTACAAAACAACCCTAAAGTGCTGTAAAATATAAATGGAACCATCATAAAAATTAGTGGGCCTCTTTATGCTGTTTTATAACTTTCATGCTTCCATTGCCCTCTGAAAATAACTTACATAAATATCAAACAAACCAATTTTGACAACTTAGGAACAAGTAAAAGAAAAAGTCCAATTTTAGAGATTGTGGAATGTGGAACAACTGAAAAAAAATAAAATAAAATATGATTCAGGAATTTTATCATCATCTTCTCTAAACGTAACGGAAGTGTGTGTAAAGAAGGAGCAAAAAAAATGTGAAAACTTTTTCCCATAAAAGTAAATGACGAAAGAAATAAAAATTTCAAGGATATTATGCGACATGGGACGCATGGGATAAGTTTATGAATTTAACAACACATTAGATCGATTTTTTTTGTTGCCATATCCTCCCACTCTTTAACATTCAAGTTGATGTTCGAAAAAGTATTTTGGGGAAAAATATATAACTAAAGACCGGAAGTTATAGACTTCCACGAGGAGTTTGTAAAAGGAAATGTTGGTGAGGAGTTTTTAAGGATGAGATTTATGAGTTGTAAATATTTTATGACATAATGGATTATAATAGGCTATGGAGATTATGATTACAATGAGAAGCTTTAAGAGTCATGAATATGTCTTGGGGGTCGTTTGCTTATGACGTCCGAAATTAACGGTTTTTTTTTATAAAAAAACAATGGATTTCCTGGAATTTCTATTGTTATTTTCTTGTTGACTACCCCCTCCCCCTCCCCCACATACTTCCCCCCTGGACGTCATAAGTGAACTGCCCCTAATTGATTTTCTCTGATTTTTAAGCCTCAGAATTTCGATTGGAACAGAGAGGCGGGTTCAATATTTGATGTTTATCAGAGTCTTGTTCCTCAAACCATATCCAAAAGGGGCCATTCACTAATGATGTCCAACATGTAGAGGGAGGAGGAGGTGGGTCTAGGATTGTGTGTGTCAGTTTTACGTTATTTTATTATTCTTTATGTCAATGTTATTTTGCTATGACGCAGCTCTGGAATATATCAATAAGTGACTGCAAGGGGTGGAGGGGGGGAGGGTCTAAAATTCCTGTTTTTATGGATGTCAAAAGTGAACGACCGCTTAAGACAAAACATGTTTTTAACCCATTTAAAACTGCTGTTTCATGCATTTTCTCAACTCAAGACTTTAAACTTATCATTCAACATTACTTACTTACTTCCTAGGCTGGGGCGCACGTGGGCCCATTGCCGCGCTTAGAGATCGTCTGAAAACAGTTCTATCTTTAGAAACCTTCTGCTAGTTGCATCATTCAACATAGCAACAGAATAAACTCAAAACCAATTTTCAAATAAAATTCATAAAATATCATTAAAATGCAAGAAACCAAATTCAAAAGAACCGCAAACTTTATGAAAATAATTCTCATAATCATTCAATTGAAAAAGCATTCAAACCATTTTGTTAGAACCACAGAAACAATTCACGTAGAAGTTTGAGCATTATAATTTGAAAAAATTGTAATACATGTCGTAAAATTAAATTTTCTAGGATTTCCACTTGAACTTTCTCGAGAAATCTTAAGAACACACTTCCCCTATTTCATATCAGACATTGAATCAAATATATGAAAATTTAATTCGGTGAGAAGTGCACATGAACGCTTACTTCTTCATGAAAATAATTTCAAATATGCATTCTTGCGAAGTATGTTCTTATGTTGAAGATAAACTTTTTCAAAATGAAAATATTCCATCTAAGATGTTTC